CCCCTTGCGTTGCCGAAAAATAAGCCACAAAGGTGGATCCGATCAGGGAGACATACAAGAGTCAAATTTAATTCAGTGACACCTGTATACTTTCTAATCGGCTCTCATACACACCTGGGGTTTCGCAACTTCAGCAATTTGAAGGTGTATGGACTTCAACTCCCAGAATTCCCTAGCCGGTATGGCCGCCGCTAAGAATACTGGGAATTGAAGGCCACACATTTCCCAAGTTGTCAAGGTTGGGCCACATTGTTCTTTACACCAATTTAAGTCTCAGTGTCTCTCAGTTGTGGCCATTTTAAGAAGTGTGGACTTCAACTCCCAGAATTCCCTAGCCGGTATGGCCGCTGCTAAGAATTCTGGGAATTGAAGGCCACACATTTCCCAAGTTGTCAAGGTTGGGCCACATTGTTCTTTACACCAATTTAAGTCTCAGTGTCTCTCAGTTGTGGCCATTTTAAGAAGTGTGGACTTCAACTCCCAGAATTCCCCAGCCAGCATAGCTGGCTGGGGAATTCTGGAAGTTGAAGTCCACCCATCTTATAGGTATGAATCACTGTCTTAGATGTTGGCCTACATTGAGTTACTCTACTAGGTGGGTGCTTGAGCCCCCGTCACCACCCCACAACAACACAACTCCCCAGAGAGGCAGCCCTTGTGTGTGTTGCGTCGTCCAATTCCTCCCCCGGAACTTAAAAAACGCTACCACCACAAGCCTAGTTCCTGTTAACAACTTGGTTGCGCGAGACCTGGCAAATAGTAAATCATACCCATTGCTGCTCCAAGCCTCTGCGCCTCCTTGCCAGGAGGACTAGAAACCAAAATGCCTTGTCCAGGCTATTTCACGCCACTGCCTTTCCAGCTAGGCACCGTATCACTCTCAAACTCAAAGGTGTGGCGTTGTCAGAGTCCCACCAGAAGTGGAGAAGACCCTGGCATCCCAAGTCCCACATGCGGCCGGAGCAAACCACCCCTAGATAGGACAACTCGGTTTGCAAAATCTTAACCCTGATCCCCGAACGCCGAATAAGTCAGCAGAACTAAACCATCAACAAAGAGGGTTTCTTAAGACTCCAGAAAAGACTCCAAAAGAAAGAACAAGAAAACTCACCACTTGTGGCTTCGCCCTGGCGCTACTGGCAATGATCTCTCCGTGGTGTTTGGGGCATCTGGGCAGCTTGGGCTCCGTGGTGGTCGGCGTGGAAGGGGACGATCTGGGGGTATCCACAGGGCTGTTGGGGAGGGTCTCCCCGGAACTGAGAGTCAACATGTATTGTTTGGTGACATCCTCCAAGGATGGGGCCTGAAGACTTGGAGAAGGCTTGGTCGGCAGGTGCGGGAGCTCCTGGATGGCAGGGTGGGCGTTCTGATAGAGCAAGCTAGGCAGGTGGGCATCGGAGTGGCGGAGGAAGGTAGCCGGTTCGCTGGTGTGGCGCACATGCTTGGAGCCCGGCCTTGCTCTGCCCAGCGTGGTGGGCACCACGGAAGACAGTGCCGTCTCTTCCTTCCTGCTCTCCTGATTATTCACCCGGTCGCTGCGCTTCTTGGAATTACGCCGAACTATCCTGGGAGAGAGGACTTCAGCCAGCTTGGGATCGAAGCTGAAGGCTTGAGGGACCTCGTCGTCTTCCGGTGGCGTCGGCAGGGTTTGCTCCGACTGGGAGGACAACCGGCGCACTTCCTGCTCCGTGGACTGGGCCCGCTGCTCCGAAAGGATGGGCTCGCTGCTGGACGGAAGGATATTCTGCTCTGTCTCGCTGATGGGTTCCCCGGCGCCCATGAAGCCCGGGCCGGCATGCTCGCCGCGGCGGCTGGGGTCGCTGAAGGACTTCTTCTTGATGGGCTTCCCGTTGCCCTTCTCGTCAATCACCTTGTCCAGGGCGCCGGGCTGGCTGACGATGTTCTGGATCACGGTGTTATAATCCTTCAGGCCGTCGCTGCAGACGGAGAGGTCGCTGGCGGCGCTGCCCGTACAGTCGGACAACGTGGCGGCCGAAGCATCCAAGATACCTGGCTTGGAATTCAAGGAGCCCAGGAGGTTGCTATCCACGGAGAAGTTCTTGGAGTCCTCGGTGATGGAGCACCTCCGGTGGGGCATGGGGTCGCTGAGAGAGCGGTAGGACTCCCCGCTCGACTCCCCACTGCTCCCGTTGCTGGATTCGGAACCGTTGGTTCCCAAGGATGGGAACTTGCGGCGGCGGCGGAGGGCGCTAGGAGTCAGGGGGGTCTCCGACAAGCCCTGGGACAGCGTCTTAGGATTGGGGAGCACCTCGTCCACAGCGGCGACGTTCTCGTTCCCTTGGGCTAGATGGTTTGGGAGAAGCTTCTCAAGAGAGGAGGCCTCCGTTCCTCTTCGGTTGGCCAACTTCCACGCAGCGACAGAGGGATCAAGATAGCTGTAGGCAGGAGACGTCTCTGGCTCGGTCACAATTCCTTCATCGGTCATGCTGGACTCAGGACCTTCTTCTTCTCCTTCAGAGCCAGCTTTCTCCAAGCACTGACCGCCGCTTCCTCCCTCTCTCGGGGCCTCCTCTCCCTCCTCCGTGCCGCCCTTCCCCCTTTCCTTGGACTCCGAGCTGAAATTATAGTCGTGTCCTGAGCCCATCTTACTTATCTTCTCGAAAACCTGCCGGGCCTCTTGGATGTACTGATCTTGGATGATTACAGGGAGCACCTCCTCTTCCCGGCTGTCGGAAACCACACCGTTGTGGTCAAAGCGAGTGGCCAGCAGGAGCTCCGAAGAGCTGGACTTCATGGCGTTCTGCAGGCACAGGCGGCGGGAGGCCGGTTTGTCCGAGTACGTGAAGGATTTGGCCCGTCTCAGGGTCGCCGTGAGGTCCTTCAGCGTTGGGCGCTGGCCCAATACCCAACGGTTGGGGGGCTGAGCCTCGCCTTGGGATCTCCCCACCGACGGGGGTTCGGCTCCTCCTTGGGGATAATGTCCGTCTCTGTGGACCGCATCGCCGTTGTTGCTGCCGCCGAAGGCCGGGTCTTCGTGGTCGCTCAACCGACTGCCCCTTTTCTTGGCCTTCAGCTCGGACAGGTCCGATTTCAGGAAGCTGAGCAGGGCCAAGGTCTCGCTGGCGATGTCCGGATTCGACATGGACTTCTGGTGCTTGGCTCTGGCCGCGGGTTCCAGGCCGCCAGGCAGCCAACTCTCAAAGGACGACAACTCCTGCTTGGATCTCGCCGAGCCCAGCGGCAGCTTCTGCCGGGCCCGGATGGGGGTCTGCAACCGAGCCGGGCTGTCGCTCGGGCTAAAACTGGGGGTCCGACCCAAGCCGAGGGCCCAGGAGACCCCCGGCTGCTCGTCCTCCTTCAAGGTCTCCGTGCTGGAGTATCTGCTGCTACTTCGGGACCCAGCCGGGCTGGACGCAAAGGGGGGCAGGTTGACTTTGGAGACGCGGGACACCAGAGGCAGGGCGGGCCCCGAGGAAAGGGGGGCAGGGGTGAGCCCCAAAAGCGGCCTGGGTCCCTCGGAGGCCCCTGGGGTAGTCCTCTCCTCCTCCTGAGGGGCCAGGAGACCCCCAGAAAGGTCCAGCTGGGCCTTGAGGTGCCACTCCATGCCGGGCACCACCTTGGCCTCCTCCTGGGCCTCAGTTTCCCCCTTCTTCTTCCTCCCTCGACGGCGCCCGGCCTCCTCCTCCTCCTCCTCTTCCTCGCTGCCTGAGGAGGGCCTTGGGGGGCTCTTCCCGCCCGGCCTGGGCCCCAAAGGCCTCCACTCGTCCTCGCTGCTGCTGGAGATCTCCGGGGGGACCCAGCCTCCCCAGGCCGGGCAGGGGGCCGGCGAGGCGGCGGCGGCGGCGGTGGTGGAGGCCGAACTATGCCAGGAATGCGAAGTATCCCCCAGCTGAGGCGGTGGGCCCCGAGGCGGCCGGAGCCCCGCGAAAGGGATGCAGCTGCGGGGCGGCGGCGGCGGAGGGACGCCCCGGCGCTCTTCTTCGGCCCAGCAGGGCCCATCCAGAGCCGGGCCGCCGCCGCCGTCGTCGGGAAGCAGGAGCGCAGCCGCCGGGAAGTCGGAGCACGGCGGCGGCGGCGGCCCCGCTTGGCTCCGCTGGCAGGAGCCGTCCTCGCCCGGGACGCCCCGTCCTCGCTCGGCCGCCTGGAGCTGCTGCTGTTGCTGCCGCCGAAAACTCTCGCCGAAAAGTTTGCGCATCTCCGTCACGCTGGGCCAGTCCGGCGCCGGAGCCTCGCCCGGCCCTTTGCAGCAGGAGGAGGAGGACGGGGTGGAGGGGCTGCTGCTGCTGCTGCGGGGCGGGGGTGGCGGGGGCGGCCCGGCGGCCTCGGAGCCCCCCAGCTCCTTCTGCCCGCGGCCGCAGGTGGCTCTTCCGCGGCCGGCGGGCGCTTGGTCTCGGCGGCAGAAGCGCTGGGAAAGTTGGCGCACGGAGGGCGAGAGGCTCCGCAGGGCGCGGCCGGCCGGCTCGGCGGCGGCTGCTGCTGCTGCTGCTGGGCGGGAGGAGACGCTGAAGGAAGCGGCGCGGCCGGGCGATCGCCGCCCGATGGGCTCCGGCGGCGGTGGGTTGTCGGCGCTGGGCGGGGGAGGCTGGCGAGGCGGCGGCGCTGGAGGCTCCCCCCGAGGGTCGCCTTCTCCTCCTCCTCCGTCGGGCTGGGCCGGCCCGGTCCACTTGGCCAAGCGCTGGAAGGAGACGCTCCGGTAAAGGGGAGTCCTCTTCTGGCCCCCCTCCGCCATTGTGGAGGCCGGCGGTTGCAGGGCCCTCCCCCGGCTCTTGCGGCGGGATCCCCGAGGCTGGGAAGCGTCCCGGGCTCGCCGCCCCCGCCGGCCTCAAGCCATCCGAAGGAAGGAAGGAAGGAAGAAGGAAAGGAGGCAGGAAAAGGGAGGGGAGGGGTGTTGTGTGAGAGAGAGAGAAAGAAAAAGAAAGTCGGAAGGAAAGACAAAAAGGAAGAAAAAAGAAGCAGCAGGAGACAGAAACACAGAGGGAGGAGAAAGTTTAAAAAAAAATAGTAAAGAAAGAACCAGAAAACGAGAAAGAGGAAAAGCGAAAGAAAGAAAGAAAATAGGAGAGAAAGAACTAGAAAGTGAAAAAGAGAAAAGGGAGATAACAAGAACGAGAGAGAGAATCAAAGGGTGAGAGAAGGAAGGAAAGAAAGAAAGTAGGAGAGGAAGAACTAGAAAAAGGGAACGAAAGAAAACAAGAAAGAGGGTGAGAATGAGAGAGCGAGAGAAGGAATGGAGAAAGGAAAGGAAACACGAGAGAAAGAACTAGGGAAAGAGAAAAGAGAAAAGAATGAGAGAGCGAGAGGAAGAAAGAAGGAAGAAAGGAAAGAAAACACGAGAGAAAGAACTAGGGAAAGGGAAAAGAGAAAAGAATGAGAGAGTGGGAGGAAGAAAGAAGGAAGGAAGGAAAGAAAGAAAGTAGGAGAGGAAGAACTAGAAAAAGGGAACGAAAGAAAACAAGAAAGAGGGTGAGAATGAGAGAGCGAGAGAAGGAATGGAGAAAGGAAAGGAAACACGAGAGAAAGAACTAGGGAAAGAGAAAAGAGAAAAGAATGAGAGAGCGAGAGGAAGAAAGAAGGAAGAAAGGAAGGAAAAGACGAGAGAAAGAACTAGGGAAAGGGAAAAGAGAAAAGAATGAGAGAGCGAGAGGAAGAAAGAAGGAAGAAAGGAAAGGAAACACGAGAGAAAGAACTAGGGAAAGAGAAAAGAGAAAAGAATGAGAGAGCGAGAGGAAGAAAGAAGGAAGAAAGGAAAGAAAACACGAGAGAAAGAACTAGGGAAAGAGAAAAGAAAAAAGAATGAGAGAGCGAGAGGAAGAAAGAAGGAAGGAAAGAAAGAAAACACGAGAGAAAGAACTAGGGAAAGAGAAAAGAAAAAAGAATGAGAGAGCGGGAGGAAGGAAGAAAGGAAAGAAAACACGAGAGAAAGAACTAGGGAAAGAGAAAAGAAAGAAAACAAGAATCAGAGAGCGAAAGAAAGAAGGAATAAAAAGCGAAAGAAAGAGAGAGAAAGAAAAGAAAAGCATCGGGTGTGCAGAGGAGGCAGGCAGCAGACTTCTACCACGTTCCCACGTTCACTTCCGAGCTCGGGTCCCGTGGGGAGGGGAGGAGGGCGGAGAGGCGAGGGAAAATCCGGCCCAAAGCGGCTCCGAAGCGGCGTGGACGGCAACAATGTAAACGCTCCTTCCGCGCGGCGGTTCCGATTCGCTCGGCCGAGCCAAGTCCAACTTCCAGGCCCTCCAAAGGCCAACTCCGGTTCCGTCCAAGCGCGCTCCGCACCGCTGCCGTGTGAAAATCCGGTTTCTATTTAAAATGCAGCTTCTAACTCGCGCTGGGGGGGCTTAAGGGAGTGAGACCCCCCCGCACCTTCTGCAAAAGAAAAGACCCGACAAAGGCTTAATTTTTGTTTAAAAAAAGAAAAACTAGACCCCCTCATTTCTCCCCTTTTAAAGCGCATCCTTCTCTCCCCTTCGCATTTTTCTGTTCGTTGGTTGTGTTTATTTTTTGCCTGCTTCCTTTCCCCCCTCCTCTTGCTCTCTCTCTCTCTCTGTGTTTCCTCCAAAGAAAGTTTCACATAAACTTTCTCCCTGAAGGGGCGTGGCTTCCTCTTTCCCTCCCCCCCTCCCCCAAAATAGGAGGGATGGTCTTTTGCAAGAACAAATCTTTGGGAACATTCTTTGCAAGAGAAACAGAAGGAGCAGGGGGAGGAAAAGAAACGGAAAAGAGGTCAATATAGATTTGCAGGCACTGACAAACACACACACACACACACACACACAGAGGCCTAGGCAAGGGATGCAAATTGCGGGTTTTCCAATTGGGCAAGGCAACACCTTCAAAAGTCAAGAAGCCAAGGTGCGGTTAAATTCAATAATAAATGGCATTAACAAGATAAATGCATTGGTTTGTATTGCATTGGCTTGCCAAGCATCCCGATTTTTTTTTTTTATCTCATGATCCCTGGGGATGCCACAAGGGTCGTAAGTGTGGAAAACGGCCATAAGTCACTTTTTTTTCAGTGCCTTTGTAACTTTAATCGCTTAAACAAACTGTTCTAAATCCAGAACTAACCTGTATTGTGGATTAGTGTTACTCAACCTTGGTCATTTTGAGATGTGTGTGGACTTCAACTCCCAGAATTCCCCAGCCAGCATATAGATTTACAAACAAACACACAACACAGAGAGAGAGAGAGAGAATGAGAGAATGAGAGAAGGAGGGAGGGACAGTGAGAAAGAGAGACAATGAAAGAGAAAAGGAGAGGGAGGGACAATGAGAAAGAGAGAGAATGAGAGAGGGAGGGAGGGACAGTGAGAAAGAGAGACAATGAAAGAGAAAGAGAGAGGGAGGGACAATGAGAAAGAGAGAGAATGTGAGAGAGAGGATGAGAGAGAGTGAAAGAGATGAGAGAGAGACAGAGAAACAGAGACAATGAGAAAGAGACACAGAGAGAGAGACAGAAAAACAATGAGGAAGAGAGAATGAGAGAGAGAATGAGAGAGAGAGAGAATGAGAGAGAGATACAGAAAGAAACTTCAACTCCCAGAATTCCCCAGCCAGTATATAGATTTACATACAAGTACACACACGTGTGTGTGTGTGCACGCACACACACATACAGAGAGAGAGAGAAAGAGAGAGGGAGAGACAATAAGACAGAGAATGAGAGAAAGAAAGAATGTGAAAGAGACAAAGAGAATGAGAGAGAGAGACAATGAGAATGAGAGACAATGAGAGAGAGTGAAAGAGGTGAGAGAGACAGAGAAAGAGACACTGAGAAAGAGACACACACACACACACACACACACACACACAGAATCAGAGAGAGAATCTGAGAGAGAAAGAGACGGAGAGATACAGAAAGATACTTCAACTCCCAGAATTCCCCAGCCAGCATATAGATTTACAAACAAACACACAACACAGAGAGAAAGAGAGAGAATGAGAGAGGGAGGGAGGGACAGTGAGAAAGAGAGACAATGAAAGAGAAAGAGAGAGGGAGGGACAATGAGAAAGAGAGAATGTGAGAAACAGAGAGGATGAGAGAGAGTGAAAGAGGAGAGAGAGACTGAGAAACCGAGACAATGAGAAAGAGAGAGACAGAGAGAGAGAGACAGAGAAACAATGAGGAAGAGAGAATGAGAGAGAGAGAGAATGAGAGAGAGAGAGAATGAGAGAGAGAGGGACAATGAGAAAAAGAGACAATGAAAGAGAAAGAGAGAGGGAGGGACAATGAGAAAGAGAGAATGTGAGACAGGATGAGAGAGTGAAAGAGGTGAGAGAGAGAGACTGAGAAACAGACAATGAGAAAGAGACACAGAGAGAGACAGTCAGAGAAACAATGAGGAAGAGAGAAAGAGAGAGAGAGATACAGAGAGAAACTTCAACTCCCAGAATTCCCCAGCCAGTATATAGATTTACATACAAGTACATACACATGTGTGTGCACGCACACACACACATACAGAAAGAGAGAGAGAGAAAGAGAGAGGGAGAGACAATAAGACAAAGAGAATGAGAGAAAGAAAGAATGTGAAAGAGACAAAGAGAATGAGAGAGAGACAATGAGAAAGACACAATGAGAGAGAGTGAAAGAGGTGAGAGAGACAGCGAAAGAGACAATGAGAAAGAGAGAGACACACACAGAGAATCAGAGAGAGAATCTGAGAGAGAGAAGGAGAGATACAGAAAGATACTTCAACTCCCAGAATTCCCCAGCCAGCATATAGATTTACATACAAAGACACAGACACCCGCATACGAAAACACACACACACACACACATGCCTAAGCAAATGGATGCAAATTATGACTTTCCAGTTTGGCAAGGCAATTCCTGAAGAAGCCAACAAGGTTTAAATGCAAAAGTAAATTGCATTTGCTGGATAAGCAAGGCTGCAGTTGGTTCGAGCAGCAATTTTGCAACTGATGTGTACAAACACTTTACAATTTTGGAGCTCGGCTACCCGAAAGGGATCCCAAGGGAGTTTTCCCCACTTGTCGATTCCCAAGCAAATTGAGTTTAAATAGACAGGCACCAGTCCTGAACCTGAAATGTATGTTGCTAAGTGAGACATTTGTTAAGTGAGTTTTGCCTCCTTTCAGGGATTTTCTTGCCAGAGTTGTTAAATGAATCACTGCCGTCATTCAATTAGTAACCCAATTGTTAAGCGAATCTGCCTTCCCTGTGGTGAGAAGGTCACAAAAGGGCACCACATGACCCCAGGACACTGCAACCGTCGTAAATACGAGCCTGTTGCTGGTTGCCAAGCCTCCAAATTTTGAAAAAACAGCCATAAATCACTTTTTTGAATAATGTCGTAACTTTGATCGCTAAACAAACTGTTGTAAATCCAGAACTAACCTGTAATGTAGATTAGTGTTACTCCACCTTGGCCCTTTTAAGATGTGTGTGGACCTCAAATCCCAGAATTCCCTTGCCAGCATATGGATTTACATAGAAACACACACAGAGAAAGAGAGGGAATGAGAGAAAGAGAGGGAATGTGAGAGGCAATGAGAGAGTGAAAGAGAAAGAGAAAGAGGGAGAGAATGAGAGAAAGAAAATTAGAGAGAGACAATCAGAGAGACAATGAAAGAGAATGAGAGAGAGAATGAGAGAAAGAAAATTAGAGACAATGAGAGAATGAGAGAGAGTTAGAGAGACTGAGAAAGACAAAGAAAGAGACTGAGAGAAACAGAATTAAAGAGAGATAATCAGAGAGAGACAATGAA